AGGCGTAGTTCTTTTACTGTAAGTAAGCTGATTTTTTTTTACTATTATATATATTTAGGTCTAGAAGCTTATATTTATTTTTAGAAGAATTAGTTAATTTATAAATATTATTATTAATATTAAGTGCGGCTTAAGCGCCTTCCTATAGGTGTAGGTTTAGGTTACTACTAGAAGTATTAATTATAAACTACTAAAAGGAAATGCAATTTCTATTAAAATTGTCGGCGTTATAAATAAACCTATTATACTATAGGGTCTATTATTAGCGTTCGCGTTTATTAGCTATATTATATCCTACCTTACTATTTTTATTAAATATAACTCCACGCTTATAGAATTTACTTTTAAGGTATATAATTTAGGTAAAAGTATCCTTATATTTAGATTTAAATTTTTTAGCTTTTTTATACTTTTTATTATAGTTAGTATAAATGCAGTTAAGTTTCTAGTTAGTGGCGGCAAAATTGGCGCTAAAGCTAGTATTAAGTTAGGCTTACTTAGTAAGTTAATTACGTAACTTCTAAAGTCTTTCTTTAGCCTTATTATATTCTATAATAACGTGCTGCGCCTCTTTATTAGCTTTATTATACTCTAATTAGACGATATAAAGGTGGCTTTATAGCTTTAAAATTTTATTAAAGTAAAATATAATGCGCTTTTACTAAGCGGGTTTAGCGCTATTAGTAATATTATATATAAAGTTTTCTGCACTTTCTAGATAATAAAATAATAATTTATTAGCGTTTAAGGATATATATAAAAAGTGCTGGCCTTTAGGTTTATATATTTATTATAGCTTAATAGGAAGCTTTTAAGGAACGTATATATTAGTGTAACTAGAAGTAGTAACTATAAGGAAAGAAGGAAGGTATAGTAGTAGGGCCTTAAGTGTAATATTTCGTCCTATTTAATATATATCTAAGTCGCAATTAGGTATAGTTATATAAGTGGCGCAAACTATTAAGAATTTGTCTAATTATAAAGTTAATAGTAAAGTTAAGTAGCAGAAGGTAGAGATAATGTCACCTCTTTAATAGTATAAGTACTAAAGAATCTTAAGATAAATATAACTATTTAAGGTAGTAGAGACTATATCTTAAATATAAAATAAGTTCTTGCTAATCTGCAGGCTTACTAGTACTTATTTTAGCTTACTTTTTTAATTATAAGACCTCCGCTTATTTTATCTTGTTCTTAATTATTTAAGCTACTATAAGTTGTTATATAACATTTGTTCTATAGTACTCTTTTTACTAGCAGTCTCCCTTTTTAAGAAGCTTTAGTATCTGGACCCTATTCTAATACTGCCTTATAAGGTTATGCTATATTTTATGTTTAAGCATGCTTATAATACTTGCTTCTTCCTTTTAAGCTTTTAGCTTAAAAGTTAATTTAGAGTAGGGTTCTTTTAAATAAATAGCTAGTAATGCTCTACTTATAGGGTATCTATTATATTATTTAATTTCCTCTTTCTTTACTATGCCTAAAAATAATAGGGCTTTTAAATATGCTAAGTGTCTTACTCTCGTAAATTACATTATTATAGTAGGTGTAAAAATAGTTTAGTGTTCTTATTATTTCTTTAGAGGTCTAACCTATATAGCTTCCACTATTAATATAAAGTAATATTCTAAATGTATTTATGCATAAGCTTTTTATTACAACCTAGGTGGTACTTCTATAGTTAACTATAGGTTTTTTTTTTATTTTATTTTTTCTATTATTAACCTCTTTTAGGGCGAAAGCTTTCTTGTAAAGAAGAATAACTATATTCTAAAAAGCTAGCTACGCGGTTTAATTTTTATGCGGCGTTATTTAAGATTAAATGTTTAGAGTTTTAGGAGAACCCCCTTTGCTATTATAGTAATAAAATGCTTTATTAGGGTTTTAAAACCTTAGATAAGCTTAAGTAAGAAAATTGTAAAAAGGCTAAGCGTTTAAAACGTAAGCGTATTAAATAGGAATCTGCTTCTACTTTAAATGTTATATTTACTTTAGCTTTTTTTACTTTAAATAATCCTGCTAATCCTTTTTAGTAAATAGGTGCTCTATTTTCTTTATTTTAGGCTACGTCGGGTTCTATTAATAAAATCTTAAAAGTAGCTTTTAGTAAATTGTTAAGTTCGTAGCTAGTTCCTATAAATTTTCTAATATATAGTATTCTTTCTATTTAATTAGGTACTTAATTTACTGATTTTCAATTCTAAAATCTAGAATGTTTTTTACTTTATACTTATTATAGTACCTAGTTAACCTTAGCGCTAGAAATTAAATGTTTATTACTAACTACTTTTATAAGTCCTTAATGTTCTTAACTAAAAGTATAGCTATTTAAGCCCTTACCGTGTCTTTTCGCGGTTTTTAGTATAATTTTAGCTTAAATCCGTAATTTATAAAGAATGGTAATACTTTTATTATTTCTGTAGATGCACTATTATAGGCGAACTATGCTATTAAAAGTAACTCTACCTAATTGTCTTGCCTATAATTAATATAGCATTATAGGTACTGCTCTAAAGTTTAATTTAGTCGTTCTATTTATTTATCTATTTGCGGGTGGAATACTATAAATAATTTAAACTTAGTGCCTAGTTGTGTTATTAAGGTTTACTAAAACTTTAATATAAACAATTTATTATAATCTAATATAATTTCCTTTAGCAATTTATAGTTGCTAATAACTGTTTTTAGAAAAGCGTAGGCTAGATCTTCTACT